GCGCGGGACGAGGGTGCGCTCATTGGCCAGCTTACGACGTTTACTACGATGATGTGGTACGGCCGTGGGTGGCTGGAGACGTTCAATCAGTTGTGAGTCCCGCATGTCAGGTGCTGGGCTGTGTTTTGAGGTTCGTAGTCTCCCTCCGGATGAGAAGCAGATACCGCCGACGGGGACGTTCACCCCCGCCAGCTCTAGTGGGCGTGCTTTGGCTGAAGAGCAAGCGTCGGACGACGAAGACGGAGACGAGGACGAAGCGTCCGAAACGATGGACGCGCCTACCATCACCTCGCCCATCCGGCGGCCGCAGGCCATGCAAGCGCAAGCCTCCCCCCGCTCTGCCCTCCAATCCCCACCCCGCAAGTCGTCTGCCACTGCCGTGCAAGCACCATCCGTGGCGCTCAACAGCCCACAGTCCTCCTCCTCCCGCACGCTCGACGACCCCGCGGCGACCGACTCGCCCGGCAGCAGGAAGAGTGACAAGATGGACAGGGCGATCAACGTCGCCCTCCAGCTCGTGACGCAGGACAACCAGAATATCGACCCGGCGCTGCGGAAGAAGGCGACGGACCTGCTCAACAGCGTGCTGGACCAGGCGACGGACGACTTCCGATGAAATCATGAGACATTATGACTGGCTTTGGACTGGTGAATAGATGTTGGGGGAAAGCGCCTGAATTAATTGTTATACACGTATGTATCGATAGATGCACGTTTGAAAAAAGATAATCTGTACTTGTAGGTTAATGCGATCTTGTCTCACCGCCCTTGAGCGCCATCGGAGGAGCAGCGCGCGCTGGAACCCCCGCACGTGACGCGCTCCTTGGAGTCTTTCCACCACCAAGCAACCCACTGCCACGATGCCGAACTACAGCAAACGGAAACGCAGCGAGACACCGGCATCCAACCGCTCGCGGAGCATCACGCCTGCCGCGAACTGGTACAAAAAGTCGAAGAAGACGAACGATAGCAAGCCGCAGGTACACTGGGGGAGCTCGTTGCGCGAGTCGGTAGTTGAGGACACGCCGGAGCCGGAGCTGGACGACGATGCGAGCACGATACAGAACGAGCTGGAGGGGGGGAGGATGGCCATGAGTATCTCGTCTGACGATATTGAGCGCGATGACGGGCTAGATCAGGTGCGTCGGTGCCTTGATGCGGCGGTATGTGAGCGCATATATCTCACTTTTCGTATAGGTCTGCGTGGCGATGAACTCCAACTCTCAGCGACTGGGTGCAGCCATCTACGATCCTGCGACCAGCACTTTGTACTTGCTCGAGGACACGGAGGATAGCGCAGCGTTCGACTTGGCCGTCGCAGGTGCGCATATATGTACCTCTGTAACGCAGATATTGATCCTATGCTTCAGTACTCGAGCAGACCACGCCGCAGACGGTGCTCACGAGCTCCAAATCGGACGAAAGGTTCCAGGCAGCTGTGGAGGAACACTGTATGTGCTGAATGTCCACCTCGTTGGCCCTGAAGAACTGATCGCGGGATCCGCAGGCATAACCAACAACATCACGTACAACCTTCGCATGTCACACGAGTTCACTCCTGCCCGTGGCGCAGACCGACTCCTTTCGCTTCCTCTATTTTCTGATTCCTCTTCGGACTACGCTCCGTCTTCACCAACCTCAAACGGTTCAGGGCTGCGAGACGCGTACAACTTCATGCGGTCCAGAGTTGGGAAGGGGAAGGACCCGGAACGAGCGACGTGGGAAGGCAAGCTACGATTGAGCAACTGGGGCAAGGCCGACGGAAACTCGTATCTATGCGTCAGTGTTGCTCTTATGGCACACATCATGGATGCTCATTTCACTTCTGTCGCAGATGGGTTCGGCCGCTGCTTTGCTTGATCACCTAGTTCGCATGCGGGCGAGCGTAGGTGAACTCGAAGATGCAGGCGTTGCAAGTCTTGACATAGTGGATCTCAAGAGCTTCACCATGTATGTATTCTTGGCATTGACGGTCACGTAACATCACTGATCTGCTGAAAGGGATCGATACATGCACATCAATGCAGATGCTTTGTCTTCCCTACAAGTCTTCAGCTCGCAGCAGCACGCGAACAGCTTCTCCGATCGGTCCAAGGAGTCACTTTCCCTATATGGTTCGTTGTGAGCTATACCCTGCTGACTTCATCAGCTCATGGTCACAGGATTATTGTTACCGGCAAACACCCCTCTCACGCCGCCGCTCCTCCGGAGGGCATTGCTCCGTCCTCTAACAGACCCGCACGCCATCCGGGCACGGCACGACGCTATATCCTTGTTTCTCCATCCGCAAGCAGGTGCCACGGTTTCGACATTTCCTGCGAGGCTCAAGGGACTCGGCGGCGCTGGACGAGCAATGAAGCTGTTGGGACTCCGAGGCGGTCGCGCCGATGGTGGTCCCAAGGAGTGGGGAGCGTTAGTCAAGTTTGCCTACGAAGGTTCTCTACTACGCGAGGGCATATTAGACCTAGCCGGGATAAGCGGTGCCAAGGAGGTCGAGATAGTGAGAAAAGTGAGTGGGACTGACGTCAGCGCGAGACACACATCTCACTGCTGCGTAGCTCCTTGCTTCATTGGAAGTTGCGTCTTTCAGGGATATGGCCACGCTCGTCAACGAGACGGTGAGTTGCGCCTTTTTTTCCGTGGTCATTCCCAATGGTGTTGGCAGATTGATTGGGATGCTTCGGAGCTGGAATGCCGCGTTGCTGTGAGACCACGCGTAGACGAGGCACTGGACAATGTTCGGCACATCTATCATGGGCTCGACAGTCTGATGGTACAGACATATTTGCTCGTATTCCTTCCATCATCTTATCGTGTACCCAGTCCCGCGTTGCCTTGGAGCTGAGTCGACATATACCGCCTCAATTTGCCTCGGAGCTCAACGTCTGCTACTATCCGCAACTCGGCTATCTGATAACGATCCCTCTCCGGCCAGAATGGCAAGGAGAAGAAGACTTCCAGTGCATGGAAGGGTGGTCATTCCAGTTTATGACAGAGGAGAAGGTCTACTTCAAGTCACAGGAGATGAAAGGTCTGCCAGTGTCTGGTTCACATTACAGATACTCAAAGCTGCTTTTCAGACATGGACCAGCAGATCGGCGACGTCTATACATCCATGATGGACCGCGAAATCGAAATCATCCAGGATCTCCGGGAGCGTGTCATGGAGTTCAGCGACCAAATTTATGCTGCTCTCATGCATTGTGTCGAGCTCGATTGGTGCGATAAGCTTGCAAACATGACCTGCTTGCTCTAACTCTCTCGAAGCTTGCTGTGCTTCGCCAGAGCTTCCAAGATGTACGATTGGCATAGACCAGTCATTGTGGAAGAGAATGTCATCCACATCCGGAATGGTCGGCATCCAGTCCAAGAACTCTGTGTGGAATCGTTCGTACCGAACGATTGTCGCATGGCCGCAGGGGACGCTGCCATCGCTGAATCCGATTCTGACGGGGCAGAGTCTTCCCGGAATATCATGATACTGACAGGTGCCAACGGATGTGGCAAGGCGAGAGTTATCCTTATTTCGGCTGTCCTCTCGCTGATGAGTGCAGAGCGTCTATCTCAAGCAGGTTCGCTTTTGGGAATCATGCTTCTGGTCGTGCCTCTCACCGTCTCATTCAGACAGCCCTGATTGTCCTTATGGCACAGGTAAGTACCCACTATTGAGATAGGCTGCCGCTTCTCACATTTTCCTAGATTGGATGGTACGCGTCGTGCTGAAGCCAAGTACATTCACTCACCGTTCCCGTAGCTTTGTTCCAGCAGAGCAGGCAACCATCGGCATCGTCGATAAGAGTAATATCCACCGTAACTTGAAAGCACTGTACTTACTAGGTGGCAGTCTTCACGAGGTGTCAAACACGGGAATCGGTGTCGAAAGTTCGTGCCGTCTCTCGGTGTCAAACCATTTCCTGATCAACATTACCCTGGTAACCAGATGCAATCGGCTTTCATGATTGACCTTGCTCAAGTGTCACTGGCGCTGCGAAATTGTACTGCTCGGAGTCTTCTCATCCTTGACGAATTTGGCAAGGGGACAAGATCATCAGGCTTGTCAGACAACTCTGCTTCACTATCGCCCCGCTGAAGTTGCCATGCTTCTGATAGATGGCGCTGGCCTCTTTTGTGGCACTATTGATCACTTGCTCAAGCTGGGACACTCCGGTCCCAAAGTCCTGGCGGCGACCCACTTCCACGAAATTTTCACGCCTGACGGCCTCTCTCCAAACTCTCCAATCAATTTCGCACATATGCAGATAATGTTCACCTCACCTACCGGGAGCATCATCGACACGGAACACAGTGATGACTATGCTGATCAACTAAATGAGCACATCACCTATTTGTTCCGGTACCTGAGATGCGGATCATTGGGTTATTATATCCCTTCTAACACTGCTGTAGAGTTGCTCCTGGTCTTGCCCTAACTTCCCATGCTGCACGATGCGCTTTGCTTCAAGGCATTCCGAGGAGAGTGGTGGAGAGGGCAGAGCACGTGACGTCAGTCGTTCTGTCAACTCTCGCTGTGGTCGGTCGCTGAACTTCGGCAGTCGACTCGTTGCACAGGATGATATTGACCAAATTCTAAACGAGGCACTGTCCGAACACGAGAGGGTGGATCTTGAATCCGCTCAGGATGTCATGAAACGCTTCGTGGCCTGGGATCTCGGGAAGTGGAACACTGAAGACGACTTGCCTGACTTGAAAACGGAGCTTCGCGGGATCCTCGGTATGCACGAGGCCGCTTGAGCTGCATATGGATGGCGCCGATGGACCTGGCTCAATGATTATTGATACACTTGTACTTCAACCTGCGTGAATGACCAGAATATATGTGAGCTGGGTCCAGTGAAAGCGGTGCGTCCGGCAGGGTGTCATAGTGAGTCACATCCTTCGCATGCAACCCGGAGGCACCTCGTCACAAGCAAGTCACCAAGTCGCAGATCCCAGTCCGACAGGGGGTGTGGCCCGAACAGATGGCAAAATAATTCGAAGTCTTCCGAGACTGGGATTTGAACCCAGGAAGTTCAGGTAAGTATGTCTGATTGTGCTCCGTTGCACTACCTCGGAGTAAACTGTCAGCTCTTGCCAGCGTGCGGTACAAGGGCACAGGGCCACGGCGTGCTGCGCAGAAGCTCATGACTGTCTCACACAGATGGCTTTCCTTTACGGGTCTAATGTAACATATGGAGTGATGCGGGTATACAGGTTATACAGGAGGGAACATGCTTGCCTCAGCGGGCGTTCCTCTACTCTTCGAATTTTTACCCCACACCATCTCATACGTCCATGTGTTGCACGAATGCAGCGACCTCCTCATCGCTTGTTTGTCGATCGTCGAGCATTTCGATGGCTCTTGATATTGCCACTGTTGCCTTCACGGAACCTGCTCGCAACCACACCCTCCCGTTCATGCCGACGGCCACCTCGAACGGGAACTTCTGTGCCAGTGAAGGCAGGAGGAAGTGCTTCGAGTCTAATAGTCTATCATACCATCATTAGCACTCTCCACGTGGTTTGAAATGCATCTTGCGCACTTTCGACATGTCCCCAAACTGCACTCCACAATAAACCCATCCTTCAGTTCCCCAAACCCGTCCGCCTTCCTCGTCGTCGCATCAAAACACTCCAGCTCCGGATCCATATCCCTATTCGCCAGGCTCACTCGTGCATAGACGAGGTTTCCGACTTTCAGCATTGGCCGGTTGCGCTTCGTTGCGCTTTCGAAGGCTAGGACGTCGAGTGATGCTTGGTGGGCACCGCCAATGTCGACGCGGTAGGCTTCTGCGGCTCGGTAGGTGATCACGCCAATGACGCTTTCCTGCGATGCTGGTATGTACTGCAAGTCGTTCAACTCCATTTCCATACTGCTAGATTCACACTAGACTTACGCGGCGCGACTCTGTCTCTACCCAATGCTGCTGCTTCTGCGTCGAGTGCAGGACCCCAGGCCGATGCGCGATCACCGGATTGCCAGGCGTATGCAACATCAGCAACCCCGGGCCGAGCTTGAGCGACTTTGGTGGGGGTGTAGGGAGCGTGAGCACATCTCCGGGGAGCACATATGACATGGCGAGAACCGGATGAGGAGGAGATGTCCGAGGTGTGGTGGTCGTAGCTGGGGAGGGAAATATGGCAGCTGAAAATGGACCCTCATCTGTAAAAACCGCAGGACCCTGATAGCAGGGGTCCCTATGAGCGCTATAGATGCTATGGATAACATTTTTGAGCACGATTTTGCCGTCTACAATGGTCCCTCTTTCTCCAAACATGTTCAGACATGTAGCCAACATGTGTTTGGCACTTCTTCTGCATAAATGTAATAAAACTGGGAGTTTGTCACAGTGCACAAAGTACAGGACACAATGCTATATAAAGGCAGGATTGCAATGGGTGCTAGGACCCCTATATAGGCTACATAGCCACAATAGACAAGGTTGTTTTTTACTGATGCTGGGCGCTTGTCTCTCGTTCCACGGGCCAGCGCTCAGACGACCATGAATACCCCTCTTACGCAGACCTATCCCGAGCTAGCACATCTATCGTAAGCTCATCCATCTACTGATAAGGTGATTCTGAGACGTGGTGTAGAGAAGAAGATGTGAAAGAAGCCATTGCTGACCCGGCGTACCTGGGTGCCTTGGTCAACACATTGCCGGCCGCGCAGCACGCGACGAAGGATATCCTAGATCTGGCCAACCTAAACGACGAGCTCGCACGTACGCCCTCATCCCCATCCGCATGATCTCATAAAAACAGCAGTATAACTCATACTCATGCGTCTAGATCGGAGTCTGGCGATGCAGGATGACTTGAATCGGCTACGAGCGGAGACGCAGGCGGCGTTCGACCATGCGCAGGACCTGAAGCGGCGCTGGGCCGATGTGGACCGTGAGCAGCGGGACGTCTACCAGGTCTGCCCTTTCCCTTCCAACACCCGCATGCGTTTGATCATGACCACGCGTATGCACAGCGGTTCGCCCCCACCTTCCTGCTCATGCGCCTCCGCCATGCGACCACGGACCTGGACGTGACCTCCGAGCGTCTCGCCTCCGAGTTCGTCAAGCCGTCGACAGCCGAGATCGAGCACGAGGCCGATACAGCGCGGGCAGTGGACGGGTTCGTGCGGGAGTTTAGGGAGATGAGGAAGGCGTATCATAAGCGGGTTATGTGGGGGGATAAGAGTGCGGAGGGGAAGGTGCATTGGAGGGATGGGCGCTGAGGAGAAGGCACTGTCTCGACCGTGTCGCAGCATTGTGCGTTGAGAAGGTGTGTATGATATTATACAATCCAATGGTACATATGTATACAGTAGGATATCCGCATACAGTGGTGTGTGAACTCAAAATTTACATCAAGCCCTCATTCATATCGACAACGAAGCCATCATTCATAGCGACAGCCGTTCCTGCACCATCCTCGCGAGCGGGAAGACGACCGCCCTCAGCGGCGACAGCACCGGCGGCACGACGATGCCCGCGCCCAGCCCATGCCTGCCAAACACGTATCAGCACCCATCCTCCTTCACAAGCCCAACAGCAGGGACTCACATATGCCAATCATCCACTGCCCAAGTGCTCCCCGCCACAGCCCACAGGAGCACCCACACCCACCCGACAAATCCTCCAATCCTCTTCCCTGTAACAGCGCGGAAGAGCCTTTCTAGCCCCAGGCCCACACCCTGCATCGAGAAATAGAGCATGCTGCCCCCGCCTATCCTCCCGCCCGTGGGGTAGAGCGAGAGCGTGTGGTACGCCCCGCTCGCTAGGAAGGTGCCTACCACCACCCCCACATAGGCGGCGACCTTCCCTGCGAGGAGGGAGAGCACCCAAGCAAGCGGCCAACCGCCCATGACCAGGAACATGCGCCTGAACATCTGATGCCAGCGCTTAGCCCAGTAGTCGTGCAGGCTCGTCGCGCGCCAAGGGGCGTCGTAGATCGGCGGCCAGGCGCGCGGGTCCTGCCCCAGCAGCAGCACGGCGAGGAGGCCGAGCAGGTAGTAGACCATCTGGAAGCCGACGATGACTGCGCACCCTGTGAGCCAGGCGGTGAGCACCGCCAGCGTCCAGCGCGGGGCGAAGGGCAGGGAGGCGAGGAATATCGAGCTTGGTCCTGGGGTGCGGAAATTGGGATGTTGTTTGACGAGCACTTCGAGCGCGTCGAGCATGAAGAAGGCGCTGAGGAACTGGTAGGCCGCGTGCTTCAGCCAGGTCCTTTTGAGCTCGGCGCCTTGCAGGTCCGGGAAGGGGAAGGGAGGGACGTAGGTGTCGCGTCCGTGCGACCAGCCGATGCCGCGCCAGGCGCAGGAGAGGGAGAGCGCGTCCAGCAAGGGGTGCAGGACCGCTTTGGGCGGGGTGGCCTGCAGGGGCTGCGCGGACGGGGCGAAGCCGTTGGTGGTGCCGTTGGTTACATGCCCGTTGGGGGATAGTCCTGATTTCGAAGGGGGAGGAGGATCGGTCGTCTCGTTGTATGATGCGTGGGTGGCGTCTACAGCCTTCGCTGCCCCAGGCTTGATCTCCCCAATCCTAGGGAACCCAGTGGTGTCCGTAGCGAAGTCCACGATCTACCCTCCAGTCAGTACCTTCTAACCACAAGAGCCTCAAATCACGCACCTTAACCAAGCACTCGACAACCCACACCCCTAGCGCCCAATTCCATGGCGCCATCTCCGGCGTCATCCACCTAAAGCTGGTGATCACATAGATGCACCAGGCGACGGCGAAGGGGAGGATGGACAGGCGGAGGAGGAGGGTGTTAGGGCGGCGGGCGAGGTAGGCGAAGAGGAGAACTGGGGGACCAGGGGTGATGAGGAGGGGGAAGACGCTGGCGGTTATGTGGATTCGTGAGTCTGGGGGGAGGGGGAGGGGGATGTGGGGGAGGTAGGAGGCGGCGATGTTGGGGATTTGGTCCATGGTACTTGGTCGTTAGTCGTTGTATGTCCTTCAGAGATTCAGAGAGTGAAGTGCGGTACAGCGTAGCAGTTATAGTGGTGCGTTCGGAACGTCTAGCAGATAGTCTGCGGGGAACTCACAGCATCTTGGCTGAGCATACCAACGTCGTAGCGGCTGATGACCTATCGCCCTTCACCCAACGTGTCGGAGGCCGGCCGCCCAGAGTGGACCCTGACTTCCCCACGAGGACGGGGAGGGCGCTTCCGGAGCAGGAGGCCGCCTCCGGCTACGTTACGCCGCGGGGGTGACAGGACCGAGCTTTGCTGAGGCATCCGTTTACCCAAGAGTGTGAGTGTACTATTAAGTCAAACATATACAGTGTTACACAACCCGTCGTCAAGCACCCGGAGCGGCTAGCTCTCCCCCATTACCCTCCGTGCCAGCGGTATGATGACCGCCCTGACCGGCGAGAGCGCCGGCGGTATAACAATGCCTGCACCAAGCCCATGCCTATAACGCATAGATCAATGCCAAGAACTGACAAGACGCACTCCACCAGAAAGACCACTCACAAATGCCAGTCCTCGCAAGCCAACACGCCCCCAACGACCACGAACCCAGACGTCCAGAGCCACCCGGTCACCCCGCTCATCCTTCGCCCGGTCACCAGCCTGAACACGCGCTCCAACCCCACGCCCACACCCTGTAGGAGAAAATACTGCAGACTGCCCCAGGAGAGCGGCATGCCTATCGGGTACTGGGCAAGCATGTGCAGCATCCCGCTCGCTAGGAACACCCCCAGCACGGCTGCCACGTCCCCCGCTGTTTTGCCGAACAGCAAAGTAGCAGGGTACTGCATCGGGTAGCCACCCATCACTAAGAAGGAGCGGCGCAGGAGCTGGTGCCATCTCCTGGCCCAGAAATCGTGCAGGCTCGTAGCGTACCAGGGGTCCATTTGGATGGGCGGCCAGGCGCGTGGGTCGTGCCCCAGGAGGAGCACGCAGAGGAACGCGAAGAAGTAGTATCCACTCTGGAAGCCGAGGACGACGGCGATGCCTGTTACGAGTGATGTACAGATCACGAGGAAGAAGCGCGGGAGGAGAGGGAGCGAGGGGAGGAACATCGATGCCGGGCCTGGGGCACGGAAGTTCGGGTGCTGCTTGAGCAGCACTTCGAAAC